ATTTCACAGCTTCCCTCTTCAAAGAATAGCCAGGAGATGCGCTGACACAGGGACACCCCTGTAGGTGGGAGTCTTGCCACCATTCCCACCACTCCCACCCTTGGTAAGACAGCAGCCAGGTAGGGGTCTGTAAAGGGAAGAGGATGGAGGAGCACTGGGAGGTCTGTGTGGACGGGCTTCTCTGCAAGCTTGAATGTTATTTGAGCCAGCCACAAGCTCCACAGCCTCCTCTGGCCCTGATCCTGCCCTGATTTCTTGGGGTTCTGCTTGGGGCAGAGATCAGGGCAGCTTCTGAGGTCTGTGCTGTGCTGGCTCCTGCTTATGGGGTTTTTTTGGAGCCATACCAGCAGGCTAGATGCATCTGCATTTGCACTGGAGAGCAGAAATGACTGTGATTAGTAAAGGAAAAGTCATCATGACACAGAGTGCAGTGGATTCTGGAAAAAAGGTTGTTACAAATAGTCTGGAAACAGGATGAGTGCCGTGTCCCTGGTCTGTCTGATCAGGGCACCCCACTGTGTCATGATACCTGTTGGCAGCTGGGGGCCTGTTCACTTCCACTGGTTCTCTGAGCTGGGAGACCTGCCCCTCCATCAACTGTGCATGAAGCACTGCTACCTTGTAACCCAGCGACTCTCAACTAGGGTCCCACAGCACCCTGGGCTGCCTTGAAATCCTTTCAAGGGTGCCACAGGTTGCCACACAATGTTACCACTGTCAGGTGGGCAAATGATTCACAAGATAAACTCAGAGATTTCACTTGGGAATCTATAATAAAACCTGTTGACCGTGACCTGCTGTGGGCTTCCTGAGTCCTTTGCAACAGAAGAACTTTTCTCTATTATGGTTCTCTGGGCAAAAAAAAGAGTGAAAACTAAGAGCTGGCATTTTCCAAAGTCTTTAGTCTAAAAGGGTTGAGAACCACTGCTGTAACCTCACCCTGTCTGCTGAGGAGGAGCACAGGCCGCTTCCCATGGACTTGGACTAGGGAAGTCACCAGGACAGACCCAGCTTAAGAACTCTTCTACCACCAAAAAGCTCAGCACCCGGTCAGGGGCAGCTGGGTCTGGGATGCTGCTGCTGCTAAAATGTGCTGTATCATACAACCCTTACCCCCCACACCACCGCTGTTAACCAGCCTTGTCTGTGGCATAGTTCTGTCCTGGCTGAAGTTGTTGCATCCCTCGTGCTTCCATACCTCTTAACAATGCCTCAGGGTGGAAGGAACAAATCCATCCCAGTTCCAGGCAGAGGTAGAAACCTGGCTGGCACTCTTCCTGCTGTAGGTGGAGGGTCCTAGCTACTAAGTTTGGAGTTGAGGTTTCTTTATCTAGAAAGCACAGATCCTTGCAGCCCCTTCAAGTGGGCAGTGTTTCTGGTCCCCGCGGGATGCTTTGCAGACAAGTGCTGACATCAATGCGTGGTTGGAACACAGCACGGCACAAGCGCTGCACATTTGTCCACAAAGAGGTACAGACTCCTCTGCAGATGAGGTGCACTAATCCATAGATTTCCAGCCCTACAGGCAGACAGGCTGTGACTGGGGATCCACACAGACAAGTTAAAGAATTATATTGACCAAATCTGAGTCCATCTATGATGCCCCAATCCCAATCCCTTTGAGAGAGGCAGCCATCAGCCTACCCCTTTCAGGTCCTACTGAGTTTTGCTGATCCCTGACAGTGCTGTTAGCTGCATTAGCCTATGACTTTTCTTCCTCCTCCTCCTCCTCCTCCTCCTCCTCATCATCATCACCACTGGTGTGTGAGTGGTGTCCCTCAATCCGTCTGTGCCTGAGCTTAACTCCTGCCAACCCAGACCTGTAGCTTGAGGCAGGTCAGAGCTGCCTGATGGGGCCGTATCAGTGGCATCGAGGTGTCTATTGGCAGACAGTCAAGTGTGGAAAGCTCTGTCAGAGTTTCCACTGCCAGGGCTCTGGAGAGTCTCTCCAGCACTCCCATCCAAGGGGCTGTTCTATTTAAGGCACTCATGGCAACAAGAGCTTTTGGAAAGTCAGCCATCAGGGCTATGCCAAGCTTGATATGGGAAGCCTTGTTTGGCTCCTCCTTTATCTGGGTAGTTGCTCCTCTGGCTGCTCCCCCATGCACACACACGCTGGTATAATCAGTGTAGACACATCACTGCTATGACTCCCCATGCCCCCCACACCTCGCCTCCTCTTCTCTCTCGGATTGATGACTTCCCAGAGTAATGAAACATGAAGCTGGGGGGGGGGGGGGGGGGGGGGAGGGCTGAGAGGTGATCAGATTTCTAAGCTCCCAAGACTGGCCTTGTCAGGGCCATTAGGATGGGGAAACTGAGTCACTGAGGGGGTGAAGTAACTTGAAAGGCAGGAGGAAGTGTGCTTGGCCAAGGGGAATTGGGCAGGCATGTCTCAGTGGTCTCATTGCCTGACACACGGGTGGGGAAACTGAGGCTCAGAGGCAGATAGTGACACTTGCCCAAGTTAACACTGAACCCATGTCAGGTCTAGGAGTGTGACTTGGGAGTCCAACCTACTAAGTGGGCTATTTATTTTGGTTGAGGGCTTTGTGCAAAGCCAGTAAAATTACTGGGGGGGGGGAGGAGTGCTGAATGGTTAGGGTTTGCAAGGAAAGCACTTTTGAAGAGGGTGACAGGGACCAGGGCCAAGCTACGGCAGCTGTGTTTGAGGGGGAGGTAGAGGGGAAAGCCCCTGCTTTCACAACCAGGCACCACAAAGTGGTGGAGGAATGATTTCCTGTTTAGCTGAAGGTCCAGCCATGGGTCAGAGCAGGGAGCTCCCCAGCATGCAGGGCCCTGAGCAAGGGTGCTGGAAGGGCTCCGTGTCACAGTGGAGAAGCTGAGCCAGGCTGAGATGTGTCCTCCAGGCTAAGATGTGTCCCAGATGCTGGCGGCTGAGGGGCTGCTGCCCTGGGCTTGTGCAGCCAGGTACTCTGCAGGAACCTCCAGAGAAAGGTCAGAGCTCAGGGATGGTCCCCAGGTCTCAGCACCCCACCTTCTGACCCACCCCCAGCCTCAGCTATCGAGGGAGCTGGACCTCTCCATGCCCATGTGGGCATTAGTTCAGGCAAGCGCGTGCATGGGACTGGTATGGCTGCAGGGCAGCCTCTGCTGGTGCCACCACAGTGTAGAGCAGCTGCTTCCCTCCCTCAAGGCAACAGGGAGGGTCTCCATCCTCCCCACCTCCACAACCACTGTAAGAGCATCCAGCTGAGGAGGAGTGGGACGCAGGAACCATCAGAGCAATACCCCTCATCTCCTGGGGACCTCTCGCTGTCTTTCCAGCTCTGGTACCAGCTCCTGGTGACTTCAGGGTGTTTGGGGAGCTGCCCCCCACCATTCACTACTCTGATCCTTGGCACTGGGCACCTGCGGTCATGCAGACAGAGACCAAGAGCTTCTGGGAGGTTCCTCCTCACAGAACAGGCTTGTGGAGCCATTCCTGCCTACGAGGGCATCTTAACCCTGCAGCACACACCGGCTGTGCTGCCTCCTTCCTCCCAGAGAGCCTAAGTGGTGCTACCCACATCTGGCTGCAGGCTCAGGGCTGCGGCCTGTGGCCCATGGAAGGCTCAAGCCTCCTAAAGGTGACCCGTAGTTAAAGGCTCCCCCAGTCTGGCTCCAGCATTCGTTCCTCTGTTCCCCTGGCCCTGTCCTGTCCAGTCGTGTCCTGCAGGCTCCTCTCCCCACAAGAGGCAGTTGCCATTAAGCCTGGACAGAAAATATCAGCAGCTGGTAGGTGTCAGGGACAGTCTGAGACAGCTCAGGGTGGAGCAGGCACTGTCACCTCATCTCTGCCTCAGCTGCGTCAGGGCCCTGGGGTCTAGAAGCCCACCCCAGTTGCTGGGTCTAGAAGCCCTTGCTGGGTCAAGGGCTGCACTTGGAGCCAGGGCTGCAATCTCTGGGTCTAGGAGCCCACCCCAGTTGCTGGCTGCAGAGGCTGGGGACAAGGGAGGCAGCAGCAGGCCCAGGCGCCAGGGCAGCTTTGCTATCACCCCTCTGTCCTGGGAGACCATGCTGTCCGGCATCTTCAGGTGACAGGCCAGCCAGCCCCTCACACTGGGAGGCTCCCCCGCCTTCACCATCCCTATTATCTTTGCCGCCGTCCAGCCACCTCTGAGGGAATCACCCACAGGCCAGCCGGAGAGGTACCTGCTGGAGGAGAGCAGTCCCTCCCCAGCAGCTGCTCCCCAAGGCTGGCCCCCTGAAGAGCGCTGGCACAGGCGGGTCTCAGACCCCTCGTTCCTGCAGTTACATCCGCCCAGACACTGGGATGTGCAGCTCCTGGGCCCCTCCCTGAGCTGTGCTCTGGGTGCAGGGGTCTTGGGCTTGCTGTGGGCCAGTGACCCCACCAGGGCAGCCGGGTCATCCTGGGAGGACGGGACAAGCGGTTTTGGCCCTGATGTGCAGCCCCAGGCAGGGAGAGCGAATCCAGCCCTGACCCAAGGGAATTCCAAGCTCAGCAAGACGAGGCCTCATCTCAGAGACATCCTGCACCTTTGGCCACCATGGAGGAGGTTATGCCAGCAATGTCTGGAGGTGGCTTGGCTGCACCTACTAGGGAGTGGAGATACTAGGCTCCCCCCCGCCACTAGGAAAGCCTGT